AGTAAAGAAATGAATTAGGACATTTAACTTATGATACGGATGTTAATGGACATCATTCTCTATAATATACAACAATTTCCAACGTATTCATATTGTGACATATTTTTGAATCCTAAAGTTATACATATAAACAATCAAGCTACTTTTGATCCACAAAGTTTTTAAGGTTTTAACATAATTTTATAAATGTTAACGAATTTCGTAAAATGTTAATAGAATTCTACATTCCAGAAAATTCATAACTTAGTAATTTAAAATAACTCATTTCGTCCATTTAAAAATCGAATAAATAGATATCAACAAATTTAAAATGAAGAAGAAATTACAATCTATAAAATCAGTTCAACTGAAATTACCAACATTTCGTCCATCTAAAATCACAACGGTGATATACGATTTATATGGCAATGTCTACCAATTTGTAGAGATTTCAATTGTCGATGTATCATTATTTTTTTAAGAGAAAATAACTAAATTTGTATATTATAGACAGAGATTTAAAAGAGAGAAACTTTTTCTTATTTATACACCAATCTGTTTTCATATGATCCTTCTAATGTAGGGAACATACCAAATCAGTTGTAGTACATATAACTCTGAAAAATATATTTTTTTTTGATAACGAACACACAAGTATGCAAAAATATTTGGTTAGACAATTTAATTTTTTATCTTAGTATTTGAAATTACAATATCAAATCTACAAACTGTTTCAAAGTCACAATATCAAACCAATATCTACTCTTCCAATACAAAACTGACGTGTGTGTGTGAAGAATTAAATAGATAATCATGAATTTTTACTAGAACATAACATCAAAGATGTGATAGTAACATAATATGCTCTTGTACAAGAGAGAACACGTTTTCAGTGCAAGAAATATGGAGAGAAAACGTATGAATGTAAACAAGTTAAAATTAGGTGATTCTCAAGTTTTATCCACCAACTTTGCCAGATATTCAATTGCATCCTTGATTAAAAAATACGTGTTCAATTCCATTCACCATCTCTATGTTAAATTCATAAGAAATATTAATTATTATTGTTAAATTTATTAAATAAATTAACGTGATTTTAAATAGGCATAATATTTAAATAAATGAAAAGTAAATAACTAAGTAACATCAAATTAATTGTGTAAATTAAGAATTTAAAAATATAAGCTTTATGATAATAATAGTTTGATCACCATTCAAATTGAACGAAATAATTTTTAGAAAATAATCTAAATTGTAGTCTTGTATAGGTAACTTCTTTTTTGACAATTGCGCCTCCAAATACAATCAACACTGTAACATTATATTATATTAAGGACTTGATTAGTACAGATTCTCATTTTCTACAGTAAATCAATTCTCATTTTCAACCACACATTCTTCAATAAAATAATATTTTCCATCACATCAATACTTTTTTCTTCTTTTTCAACCACACATTTTCCATCATATCACTATTCAAAAATCAATTAAGGGCCTATTTGGTACAGATTTTCATTTTCTACAGTAAATCAATTCTCATTTTCAACCACACATTCTTCAATAAAATAATATTTTCCATCACATCAATATTTTTTTCTTCTTTTTCAACCACACATTTCCCATAATATTACTATTCAAAAATCAATTCTTCCCCCAAAAATTCCTACCAAACACACTCTTAACTTTTTCCGAATTATTTGTAATTTTTAATACAAGAGAGTTTACTCTTTTAAATATGATATAGGTATTTTACACCATGATTGTAACAAAAATGAAGACCTGTAAGTGCAGCCATCACTTGCACTTAAGAATATATTAAAACTATGCGAGGAATGTGTGAGACACAAAGGGTTCAAAGGTTAAAATTAGCTAGCAATATATATGCAATCGACTCATATATTTGATAAAATGTTGCAGAGATTTATGAAATATTTTAGAAATGTAGAGGGAAATTTGTTAAATGATTTTAGAATAAAGAAGAGAAATTAAAGGATTTTGTAACTAGATGTTTCATTTAATAAGATATAAAAAATACTTATAATACTTGAATAAAAGTTCATAGGAATATATCTACACTAATGGTCTGTTTGATTGCGAATGTGAAATTTGGTTGAAAAGAAAATGAATTATAGGGAATTGAATTACCTAGAAATTGTTTTATTGTGAATTGTAATTAATTGTGTCTGACTGGTATAATTTTCCACCTGAAAAATGTTGAAAGTTTGGTGTCTGTTTGACTTTATTTTTTATGAAAATTGTATATTATAGTGATAATTTTTCTACCATTGGGTTTAGAATTTGTTTCAATTGCCAAAAAAAAAAAATTAAAAAAATTATCATATCGAATATCATTTGTTTGACTTTGTTTTGTATGGAAATTGTCCATTAAAGAGAATTTTTTTTTTTTTTT